TACATCCTGTTTTTCTCTGTATTGTACGCTCCTCTGATGGCCATCAACAGGAACTCCTATCAAGTATTTTATATTATATTTCCAAATGATTTTTTTAATCAAATAGTAAATAACAAGAAAAATTTGCGTGGCCTGAATGATGTTAGTTGTGCCTCAGGCTGGATGGGCTATCCATGATGCAACCTGCAGTCCTTCTCAAAGTAAAGGGTGTGAGCTACAGCTGTTGAGGTAAGGGATTCTGAGCTTGATTCATGGATCTTAAAGTGGCTCCCCAAAAAAAACCCTTCCAAGAAGGAAAAAAGGGAAGAAACCTTAGGGAGAACGTCAGAGGAGGATCCCACTCCCGGGATGGACTACAATGGATGCCATGTGTACAGAATGAACAATGTATAATACATGCAATTCCTATGACAGAAATTATTCAAGTAATTGTGAGTAGTAAGCCAGGCGCACAGCAGGACCACTGCAGGGGCAACCACCATCAGATAGAACCACCATCAGATAGAACCACCATCAGATAGAACCACCGTCAGATAGAACCACCATCAGATAGAACCACCATCAGATAGAAACACCGTCAGATAGAACCACCATCAGATAGAACCACCATCAGATAGAACCACCGTCAGATAGAACCACCATCAGATAGAAACCACCATCAGATAGAACCACCATCACATAGAACCACCGTCACATAGAACCACCATCAGATAGAACCACCATCAGATAGAATCACCGTCACATAGAACCACCATCACATAGAACCACCATCAGATAGAACCACCGTCACATAGAACCACCATCAGATAGAACCACCATCCACAGAAGCCTGTGGGGAGGGAGAGCACAGAGACTTTAGGAGAGGGTAATGTTGGTTTATGAGTACAGTAATATGATTAATATCTAAAATAATAATGATGATGATGGCAGCAGCAGGCGTCAGCAGGGCCACGGCAGGTGTCAGGACCAGGGTCCAGAAGGAACCACGATCTACGGAGACCTGCTAGGGGAGAAAGCACAAAAAAAAACTCCCGGAAAGAAGCTGAATTAGTCATGTGCATTAATAAAATGTGAATTATGGTAGAAAGAGAGCGTGAGAGAGGAGCTCGGTGTGTCCTAAGAAGTCCCCTGGCAGTGTAAGCCTATAGAGGAGCTTGACAACTGAAGGCTCTGGCTCCCAGCCTACTTTTTAAAACCATAGGAACAATAAGTAACCCAGCATCTATGGTTCTATCTGATGGTAATTACATCTGCTTTACAAACTAAATGACCCAATATTCCTTATAGCAGCTCTGCTGAAGCCATTGTAACCACCTGGTACCTGGTCAGCAGCAGACAGGGAGCAGCTGGGGAACATTGTGCAGCATTTAGCAGCTGAAGAATAATCTACAGGACCAGCAGCTTCTTCCCCTTAGATGTCAACTTATTAAACACTGACCCCCCCCCCCCCACACACACACACACACACCAGACACCTTTTCTCCAGTAACAATAGACACCTTACTGTTCATGCTGTATATATTTCATATCCACTGCTTGCGTACAATGTAAAATGTTTGTACGTTGCTTTATTAGATGTGGTTATTCATTGATTCAGTAGATCAGTCTCAGGCAGAAGATGAAGACGTGATTCAGTGTATCCGTACGATATATTGATCAATCATAGACTGTCGCGGTGTCTGTTGCAGAGCAACCTGGTGAAGATCTGGTTTCTTCTGAGTACACCTTCCTCATTAGTTGGAGGTTGAGTTGCAAGAGCACTGTGTGTAATATAAAGCAATCATTTAAAATAGTGTAGCGCCCCCTAGCTGTCCTGGCTATGTGAGTGGAGTGCGCTGCCCGAATTCCTAACCTGTTTATATATAATTAATGCTTGGTTACAGCACTCTGCTAACCATATTATTTAAGCCTGTTATAATACCCATCAGACAGCCCAAAAGCAAATATGGTAATAAACCATTTACTTGGAATATGATGTAAGTAGGAACAATTATTAACAATTACACACAATTGTCACGACCCGGCAGAACACTGGTGTCACTGGTATCAAAATACGGGTAAGCACTCTTTCAACGGAGGCAACGTCACTTAAGAATAAAATACTCCTTAGAACTGGAGGCACTATGAAAGATTATCAAAACCAAAATTCACTCCATACGGAGGAAACAAAGGAGTATGAATACATTAACCGTTAAACTAAACCGATGATGCAAAATCAAAATCACTCTCTTGGAGGAAAAAGAACAGAACAGAACACAATAACGCGGTTCTCGAGGCTTGAAGACTATGGCGAGGCTGGAGCGGATGCATGACCCCGAGGACGGAAACGAAGACACTGCAGAGGACAAGGGGAGACGCAGACTATCAGTACAGGTGGACACAATCAGGAATCAGGGAAGACAAACAGACTGGTGACGCATGAGGAAGGGCAAGTGACCTGAAACGAGAGGAGTTACTATTTCAAAATAAAACAGGAAATGACAAGACAAAAAGATCAGACAAGATAAAACAAACCCAATTGGCTCAAAGGGTTCATTTCTCCAAGCTTGCTCACAAAACCACCTACAGGCAGCTGTATCTGAGCCAATGGATGCATTGAATTTCCTGTGTCTTTTATGGCTGTTGGGAATGACTATGAATTACAAAAATGTATGACCAAATCATTTCTGTAGATAAATTATCACATTTGTGCATAATAATTTTTTATGTATTGTGTGTGTGTGTAAATTTTCCCCAAATGGTAGTATCATGATATGGAAGGTTGTGTAGTAATGTTATTCTGTCACCTTGGGAAAATGTCATGGGCTTAAGCCGGCAGAGGACAGTGCTTGTGGAACTAGGAAGAGGGGAATGAATATGCTTGTGTAACCTGGACAATGATGTACAGGACAGGGGACATTTTATTCATTTGTATTCAGACGGAAAGTAGATTGACGTCATTCGATCGCGCGAAAACTGAAAGCTAACCGCAAACAACAATGGAGGACACACAGCCGATCCTGTTCCTGCTTCTCCATATGTGGCTGTTTGTCACAAGGAGACGAGAATCTTTGTTTGAGCAAAGGCTACATGCTGCAGGTGTGTTACGTGTGTTGTCTTTCCCCTTGCGGCACGCACAAACCTGTTTAGTACCTGTCTTTATTTGCACAATGAACAAAAAATGAACAGGGAAAAATTCTGTTGGTGCATTTGTAATAATGTAATGACTTACCATGGCTTGGTGAAAGTCCAGTTTCCTCCGTATTCTCATGCAAGGCCCGGTGATGCCTTTAGCATGGATGAGGTGTTGTTATTGCAGCCCAACTCCTTGGAGCACAATAAACACCTCACCTACACTGTTATGCACTTCACAGTTCTTGATAAGCAACCTCAATGTGTCTGAAATAGAGTTAGATTTAGCTTACCAGAACAGCTTTAGAATCAAAGTGTCCCCACACAGGGGAAATCCTCCTCTTCCTAGCTGGCTCCATCTTATCACCTGTCCTTCAATTCAATTAAATTCATTTTATTTTGTATAGCCCATATTCGCAAATTACAAATTTGCCTCAGAGGGCTTTACAGTCTGTCCACATACAACATCCTCTGTCCCGAAACCCACCATCGGCATCGCCATCCTTCTCTCCTCACTTCTCCAAACTATCTCTCTCTCTAAACTCTCAACTATATAAACGCTATCCAAACTATCCAAACTGACCGCAACTCTCCACCAACAAACCACATATTGCCGTTTGTCGTCCCAGCCGTTTCCCGCCGGGTCGGGTCTGGGAGTCCGGGGACCGGGCGGACTGTTGGCCGGGTCGGCTGCCCTCTCTCCCCTCGACCCTTTCTCTCTATGTCCAGCCCCGCTGCCCTGACGTTTGGCTGGGTTATCCCACCTCCCAACCACTACACCTTAATTACATCCCACGAGAACAAACAGCCCTTTCTTTGCCTGCCTTGTTGCATTGTACTGTTGGCCTGGCCATCAAGTACAAAAGACTAAATCAAGACTAACCTTCCGCTCCAACAAACAGCAGCCATTAAGGTAATGGTTTACCTGCGTGGCCGCTAACCCCGGCTATTTGCAGACCGAGGAGATTAGAAGGATTATCTCAGCAACGCTGCCTTCATCACCAGCTCTGTGAGCTCTGGTGTCCAACAGCAGGACGTCTTTCTCAGCATGTAGGCCCATTCATAACTCTACAAGTGTAAATTCATCATTTCACAACCATGTGTTCAGTTGCTCATAAGAACGCGTTATATTGGTAATTTAATTTATTATTAAATTAAAAAATAAGGGCTGAAATAAGTACTGACTGGAAGGCCATAACTTCCATATTTGCTGGATGTAAATGCACAAACCGGAAGGTTTGCTCGCTACTATCATTGATGTTGCTGCAATGCTGCTGACGTCAGCTGACGCCAAACGTCCACGTTCATCAAGCTCCTTTTCACACACACACACACAACACACACACACACACACACACACACACACACACACACACACACACACACACACACACACACAGAGCAAAAGTAGAGCTTTTCAATTTCACAATAAGAGCACAGGGATTGGCTTTGCACGGGATGTAATACAGTACTTCAAATGTGCAGTGCAGTTGTTCAATATGAAATATACAATTTGCAATTTACAAATTGCAAAACATCTTTACCGCTCAGATCTTACAACGTTTAGAATTAAGAAGCAGCAGATTGAGCAGCAGACTCTGTCTGATTTATACATGGCTTTATACTTGGGTGTGTTTTCAAGTTCTAGACACTGGGCTACTTCAGATGGTGTGGATTGTTATTCAATGCTAATTACCTACTTGCCACGCATTCACGATGCCACACACTACAGATATATAGAAAGTAAAGTACAAATACTTCTACTCCTTACATTTTAAAAATAGTGTGTGTTTGGACTGCGGGAGGAAGCCGCGGCACCGGAGAGAACCACGCAGACGCAAACGACTCAGCGGCTTTATTCTGAAACGTCCCGGCGGAAGTGCGCGTGAGCTGCGCCGGCCTGGCCGCTCGCCTGCACCGGGGCGCCTCGTTCTCCTCCACCACTTCCTTCCTCTGGGCGACGCGTCGTGGGGCGGGGAGGCGCGAGCCGCCGTCGTGCTGCCGAGGAGCGATGGCGGAGCGACCCGCGGGTTCCACGGCGGCTCAAGCGACGACCGCTGACGGGATACAACGGTGACGGCCTCTGAGGTTCGACGCGCATCTGTCGCTTGTGTCACATCTGGCCGGTCCGAGTGTCCCACATGCTCCGCGTCTCCTCCGCGTCGTCAAAGCCATCTGCCTCGGGCGTAAATCTGGCGCAGCGTCCCGCGGCGGCTCACGCGGAGCCTCGGTGACATTAGCAGGCCGAGTCGCTGGGGGTCACCATGGGGGCGAAGCAGAGCGGCCCGACCGCCAACCCGGCTGCCACCGCGCGGACCAGAGCGTACTCCGGCTCGGACCTCCCGTCCGGCGCGTCCAGCGGCAGCGGCGTCAGCGGGACCGCCGCCGGGGGGGGGAGGCACCGCGCGTACGGTGCGCCCGGAGCCGCCGGACCCTCGTCCGGCTCCGGCCAGCCGCACGGAGCCAGGGCCAGGTCCGTGGGGGGCTCCGGGTCCAGACCGCAGTCCGGTATCAACATTCCGAGCAGCAGCGGAGCGTACAGCTCGCAGGAGTCCGGCGGCAGCAGCCCGGAGGAGGCGGACCGGGAGCGCTCCGGCGGGGGGCGCGACGGTCCGCGGCTGGTGATCGGCTCGCTGCCAGCTCACCTCTCGCCTCACCTGTTCGGAGGTAAGCGGGCAGCAGACCCTTCGCCTCTGTCTGTGTGTGTGTGTGTGTGGAATATATATTTCTATTCATTTTGTTTTTAATTTTTGCCTCTGTGCACATGCAACATTGTGTGTCCCCAAACCGTCCATCAGCTCAGGAAACCTCCCCCTCACACGTTGGACAAACGGTTGAGTCCATTGGTGGTCCCATGATGGCCCATTGGTGGTCCATTGATGGTCCATTGGTGGCCCATTGGTGGCCCATTGGTGGTCCATTGGTGGTCCATTGGTGGTCCATTGGTGGTCCATTGGTGGTCCATTGGTGGTCCATTGATGGTCCATTGATGGTCCATTGGTGGTCCATTGATGGTCCATTGGTGGCCCATTGGTGGTCCATTGGTGGCCCATTGGTGGCCCATTGATGGTCCATTGGTGGTCCATTGGTGGCCCATTGGTGGTCCATTGGTGGTCCATTGATGGTCACTGACCAGCATTTGGCTCCACGATGCTTGTTGATTGTCCTTGAAGTCCAGTGGTGGGAAGCACAGGTCCTGCATAACACAATAAGCATGTTGAATTGTGTCGTGACGGGACGGGAGGAACGTGGGCTTTAACATGGGACTCCGTCCCTTCATCTCAATCTGTTTGCATTCAACCTCTTTACCTGAATTGGAGCCAACGCGCGGTACACGGTGCTGTTAACGGGACGTTCCTCTGAAGACAGGCGCGTGCGTAACACATGAAATAAGATGCGAGGACACCAGCGCTCGTTATCTGTCCCCAACCTGCTGGATCGTCTCTCTCGTCCCGCTCATCTCACCGTCCTTCAGGCCTCTTGTTTTTAGCACATTTCCTTCATGTCGGTGTGCATTAACTAAAACAAACGCACGCACACACACACTTGATTAAGGCATGTGCTCTGTGTCTTCTCCTCCGGGATCGTAGCATTTTAACCGCTAAGTTAGCATTCATAAATCTGTTTTCTGTTCACTTCACGTGTCGTGTTTACGTTAGCATCGATCCATCATGTTCTATGTTCAGCAGCACGTGTCCTTGTTAGATTGAAGAGGTCCAGCACTAAGGACACATCTGGGATTTGCTGTGTCCATCTTTGTACCGGATTCCCTTCAGTCCAAAAAACCTTGGTTCAATCAACTCGCCACCCGGAAGAAATGTAACGTGGGTTAGGGTGCTGCAGTGGTCTGAAGGCCGCCGCGTGTTTCTGCGTCTTTACGTGTCGACGCGCTGGTTTCACTTCCTGGTTCTAAAAGTCTTGCGTGTGTTGCAGAGCGATTCACCTCCAGAACAACAGGTGGAGTCGCGTGTTTTGTTGAAGACGACCTAGAGAGTCACGTCTTTGTGTGTGGAAGTCGCTGGTTGCTTTATTTATGTATCATAGACTTTATTGCCCCGTGCATCCACACTGCTGCTTTTCATCAAGGACACATTTGTCCCGTATTTTCCTCCACGACTTTGTTCCCCTCGTTTGTGGAGATCTCCCTCCATGAATCAGAGGCCATCCGGCGTCCTCATAGTCCGCCAATGACGGCTTGTACAAGCGCTCATATTACGCATTTCTTCCCACAAAAGCTCTTCAATCTGATCCGTTTCTCCTAAACATTCTTCCTTTTAATAACGGCCGTATTGTGCTGTGAAAACGGAGATGTGAGACTCCGTAAAGGACGTAGTCAGCAGACCAATCACAGCCTGGTGCTTCAGACGTTAGTCTACAAAAATGGGTCGACGCACGCAAGGACACGCAAGGGGGTTTCTTGAGTCTCTGTGAAAACGCAGAAGCATAAACGAGGCTTACGGTCCGCCTCCAAATGCTCTTATTGGTTGATACGCATGATGAAGCCCCACCCAGTCCATACTGTATTCCGAGCCAGTGAGAAACAGACTTTAAAAATAATACACTTTCACGTTTTATTCAGAAACACGCAAAAACAAATTCTTAAATTCTTAAAAAAAACTTAAAAAGGAAACAGAAAACCTGCAAAGTGGTGCGGAGGCCGAGCTCTGTTACCGCCGGCATGGTCGCTCATTCTCCTAACAAGCTCACACGTGTGGCGTCTCATCGGTACCTTCTTGCATACGCGGCTCACGGCGGATCGCCGTGGTCGATTGAAGAGCAGACATTGACCTGCAGCCTACGTTATCGCGGCGGTGACAGATAGCGCCGTGTGGCCGAGCTGCTAACTCATAGTTCATGCAGACGCCACGCTTCCTCTTTTCAGTATCGTGTCAGGTTCTTGGCCCCGCGGTCCGCCGTGTGAAGGAAGGAGGCGTCCCACGCACACACCAGTCACCAGCCCTGCAGTCCCAGTTGTGCTTTTTGTCCGACGTCTGAAATATGTTGTGTTGTTAAAAGGTGGTGGAAGAGATTTTACGTTTATTGCACAATAAAACAATGCTTCTAGAAGAAGCCGAGCTTCATACCTGCTGACTGTGTTCGCGCTTCAGAAGCAGTGTGTCACTCACTTCCTGTCGGGCCTTAGAACCGTTAAGTCTGCAGCGCTTTTCTTCTGTGTGACAGTGACTCTTAAGCAACAGCATGACGCAACGTGTCCACACGGCTTGGTTGTGTGGTGTTCAGCATGAGCGCGTAAACCAAGAGTCACGGTGGTGTTTATGGTGCAATGAGCTGCCTGGTTCATTGTGCTGGGGCCCGGTCGGCGGACTGGGGGGCCCGGTCGGCGGACTGGGGGGGACTCGGTGCCACATGTTCAGCGTGAAGAGCCGGTCAGCAGCTCCTTACAGCCTTTGCTGTCCGTCTGCCGAGGCTGACACAGCAGATGATTCACAGGACCGTCACTGTCACGATGGTGGAAACATCCATTTCACAGCTGCAAATACGTGTCCCACTTCATAACTGCCCCACAATGCATTGGGCCTGGTGCCTTGAGACTGATTGACAGACCTTTTTGGACTTTAACGTGATGCATATCAACAGCTTTCATCGACTGTGTTTTCATGCAAGAAGGTAACTGTTCTGAACACAGGGCCAGATTATCTGTGTGTGTGTGTGTGTGTGTGTGTGTGTATATATATACATATATATATATATATATATATGTATATGGGGTGCAGGGGTGACGCTTGCTATATAATGATAGAGGAAACATGTTGTACATGCCATTTGTCAGAGGGGACCATCTGATGAAAATGTTACATCTGCAATGGTTTTATTTTTTTAGGTGCTCACATCAGTACTTCAAATGTGAGTACCTGTACTTGGTCTGCACACAAGGTGGACAGCAGCTCTGCAGAACGAGCCGGAGAGGAGGGGGGGTGGAGGTCCGCTGGTCCTGCAGCCAGGCTAGTCGATGATCATTGAAGCGATCGATCGCATGTGTATGTACGGGCCATCGGATACTACTAGAACCTGTTTTTTCAGTACTAGTTGCTGCAAAGAGCCTGTTTCCACTACAAACACGTGAGCTATCAGCAGGCGGAGTCCACAGCAGGTGCACCGTCATGCATGCGTTCAGCAGCCACGGCCTTCATCCACACGGAATCACCTCAGCTGGTGGACGGACTACCATGACCTCTGCACTGCAGGTTCCCAGGAGGATTAATCCTAATGACTTGGATAATCCCTCAACTTTTCCTCTCTAGTTTTCCTAAAATAGTGTGAGAGCTGGTGGATGCATGGACGGTCCATTTGACCTTTCACCCGTCACCAGCCTGTCTGTGAAACACCTCATTTCTGTTATGGATCATGTAAAGCTAATGTACTAATAACGCTGACCATGCAACCAGTCGTGGAAGCCATCTCATTGATCTGTGTGTGGCTGTGTACACGAGTCAGCTGGTAGTTACCCTGGTTAGAAGAGACAAAGCACACAGTCCAATTAGAACATGGTGTCCGTTCATTAAAGTGTGTGTGTGTGTGTGTGGTCCCCCGTTAGTCTTCTATCATTACATTTCTTATAATACTAATATTGCTGTTTCTTCATGAGCTCTTCGTGACGCCAAAGAACATGAGAAGAATCGAAGTGCACATCAAACGTCTGTCAGTCATCCGAATGTGTCCGTCTGTACAGGTTTACTGGTCTCGGTGTGATGCACCAGCTACAGAAGTGAAACCGCTGACCTTTAACAGCCGTGTGTTTCGCCTCGGCAGCATTTGCGGAATAAAGCGCGTGCTATTAATGATCTTAGTGACGGACAGACGGACAGCTGCCTCATTCAAGGCTTCTTTCACTATGATCAGTGGGCTGGAAGAGACGTCCCGCAGCAAGTTAAAGGTCCTCGTCTCTCCCTCAGAGGAAGTCCTGTAGGCGACTCCTGGGCGTGCAGATGGGGGCCGGCTCACGGGCGCTGGGATTCACTTAAATAGGTCAGGCGAGCCGTGGATCTGCTGCTTCTGGCCGCACTAATCCATTCATCCCATCAGTGTCCTGGTGTGTGGACAGACGGTGAGACGCTGCACACGCCCCTCACCTGTCAGCAGTGACGTCAGTAACTTATGAAAGGCCGATGAAAACACACACGCACGGGCAATACAGGGAATACACCAGTATCTCCAATCACACTCATTGATTCAATATTAAGCCTGAAATAGTTTGTGTTCACCAACCGGTGGATTCTTTACATAAAATCCACCACCGCTCTTTTCCTTGTGAGGACGTTGATCAGAGTCGTGCTTTTTGACGCACATGTTGATCCCAGTGCGTTTGTGCAACATGTCGTCAATGAACGGACGGCAAACGCACTGCTTATTCTACCATTTCTCACAATTGGAATAACACACATATTGTACATATAAACCACAACAATACACTGATTTAATAGACGTTTCTATGTTTAGATTTTGGCCGGGTAGGCAGGGCCCGGCTGGCCCCCCCCGGCCTGTCAGTCACCGCTCAGCTGGGTGCCGGCAGCCGACGGGTGGCGCTCGGCTGTATGAAGGTGACGTTGGGATTTTGATGGAAATTGAGAGAAAACGATATTGACAAGCAGGAAGGAAAATGGGTGGATTGTTTGTTATCGGAGAGCTTTGATGGAAATGCGTCTGCTCATCACTGATTGGTGCTCTGATAATGCGGATTAAAAAACTCATGTTTAATCCCTGTTGGTTGTGACACTTGAGATGGCTCTCCATACTTTGAGGTACCTTTTTACTCCTCACCGCTCCACTGTGCTGTTTTCCCTCCAGCAGTGGACCACATTGTTAGTGAAGAACAGCTGAGCTCTACGGCCAGTTTAACCATCAGGTTTCAACCGCAGTATGCCCCCGTCTGTCCCCCGTCTGTCCCCTACTGGACCAATGGTACGAGCTCGAACGCAAACCCTGCAAAGTGCAATATGAGGGCAGCTGTGTTTCGCTGCTTTGTGCTTGTTTTACTGTTTGTTGGAAGGAACAGGCCGGTTTCTGCATGACACTAATATGTTTAGTTAACAAAATATAAAATAAAATATAGCTCTGCCTTCCATTTATTAAGTAAGGATGGTTTTGTTTAAGTGGAACATTAAACAAAAACGAAAAAGGCTGGCAGGTTGTCACTGGAAAGGAACCTTTGACCTAATCCTAGCCATGTGTGTGTGCTTCCTCCCTTTCTTCCAGGCTTCAAGTGCCCTGTGTGCTCCAAGTTTGTCTCCTCGGATGAGATGGATCTTCACCTGGTCCTGTGCTTGACCAAACCCAGAGTGACGTATAACGGTAGGACTCTTCACTGGTATCACACAAATGTGTGTGGCTGCAGAACAATCAGTGAGCAAATGAAACTCGCTTTGAACTGAGATATCATGAGAATATGTAGCAAATAACATTTACATTCATTTTTACCTCTTCACTTTAGCTGTTGCTAATGTTATTCATTTTACAAAGATGAAGATATACGTCTAACCTCAACATCAAATAATGCATGACACAATAACACTAACATGAGATAAACATGCAGAATGTGTAATTATTAGGGCTGTCAATAGATTAAAATTAACTAATTAATCGCACATATTGAAATTCATTAATCTCGATTAATGGCGATTAATGAATGTTTGTTTTAAATCTTAGACTAAATCTTAGGAGTAATGAGTACTTCAGAAATCACTTTAGAGAACATGTATTTTAGACACTGTTGTTTAATTGTTAATGTTAAACTACACATCAAACGCTGTGTACTAGATCCTCGTGAACCAGAGAGGGTGGACGTGTCCGTCTTCCTGCTGGGTTTCGCTATTGGCCTTAAAATCTTGTCGCCGCTTTTGTGAGGGTTTGGAACTTTGTGAGATTCTTTTTTTTAAATTCTTATTGTTGGATAGCACGTGAAGGTTTGTGCGACCTTCCAAGGAAAAGCCTCCCAACACTAAGCTGCTCATGCTGGATGCTTCACTTCCACGTAACCGTTGTAATACATTTAGTAAACATTGTGTCAAGTATATTCACTTCAAATACAAAAATTGAAGTGGAAGAACTTTCCACATTCAACAGGAGGTTTCTCCAACCGGTGTTTCTAAAAAGTATGCGAGACCATAAAAATGCAAACAACATATTTTCCCACCGTGAAAGTGTCTTTTAATTAGTGGGCCTCATACTTACAGCTGCTGGAATCTTAAGACATGGAGCTCCTAAAGGGACGGGTCGCCTCCTTTCTCTCTTTCACCTTTGTTACGGCCGCGCTGCCATCGTACCCGCGTACGGGAGGCTGAGCTCTTCTCTTCTTGCCATTTTGTTCACCTGTTATTCACTCAGGTAGGTGGCCCCCTCTTCAGGGACACAACAAACCTTCCAGAAGGATCAACTGTTGAAGATCCTCCTTGGTCACAACCGTCTGTGACGTGATCCACTCAGTGGAAATGATTTTCTTTACTGTAGCAAAGTACAAATGTCCACGTCTCTGACTGCAGCCTCTGTCTGACGTCTTATCGGTGTCATAATCTGCACTTCGGGTCGGAGATAAAGAGGAATAAGCCTCCTGAGCTCAGTAACTTTTTAAGGATTATTTAGGTCATGCTAAGTGGTAGCAACGCGCTCAAAGTGGGAATGTACTTTTCTACATCCTTCTGCCTTCAGTGAGGAAGTGAAGCTAGAACAAAGTGTGGAGAGGAGACGTATGGAGGAGGTATTCATCTACTTGACCTCCACCTCCTCTCCATCCTTAGCCTCTATTTCCACCTCTTTATCCTCCATTGATATTCCAATTCTTGCAAATGTAGTCTTACTTGTTCTGTCCTCTCAGTATATGCAGCCATTCCCAGATACAACTCTGCAAGAGACGTGAGCTGGACTCATGTTGTGGGACCTTCACTGAGATTATAAAGACAACTTGATGTGGAAGAAATCTGGCACCAACAGAAAAATGGCTCTAGTAACCAAGTAACCAGATGTTACACACAGGACCAGTGCTAAACAGCACAAAATCAGAGGGGCCAAATGACACACTGCGTAGGAACAGTGTCCCTGCAACGAGCACGTGACTACAGGAACACACAGGAAGCAGAAAAGTGTACCGTCCTACAGAACCACCCGCACCAAGAAGAACAAATCTAGCAAACACTATTGGACACACTCGCCACACCAACGGTGTTCCAGTGTGTCAGTGGGTCATTTACTGCTTTGCTTGTCTAACATCAGATTCTACTAGAACCTGTTTTATCAGTACTAGTGGCTGCAAAGAGCCTGTTTCCACTACAAACACCTGAGCTATCAGCAGGCGCACCGTCATGCACACTGCTTGTCTAACTATATTTTTGGGCCTTTTAGTACTTTACACACACACACACACACACACACACACACACACACACACACACACGCTGTGGAGCAGACTGACGCCGAGTCATCCCCATAAACGGGAAACTACGGCTCAGACATCAACCCGCTGCACTAGAAGCTGCTCTTTGCTGATCCCCTGCTTATCATTACAGAGGTCAAAGGTCAAAGGTGGTATTATTTGGTGGTAAACTGGACTGTTATCACAGCCATTATAAAAATCACCTTCAGGAATCTCTTCAGTTATATCTCAGTCAGAGTAGCACTATTTGTATAAACTATTTGTGGACTCGTACAAATCTGGTGTCTGGCTGTCAGACACTCGGACCTATTTTCAGATTTTGCAGATCTGTGCGACATTTATTGCATCAATGACCTGAAACGCGAGCGAGTGGCAGTGCAGAAGAATACGCAAAGCTCAAAGGTCACAGAGGAGGTCACAGAGGAGGCCGCATTGATGCGTCCACTACCTGCCTGTCACATATGGAGCATAGAGCCACCCTGACACACACACACACACACACACACACACACACACACACACACACACAGTGAATAGAAACACACACCACACACACGGCGTGTACTCTATCGCTTTCTTTCACACAAGGAGATGAAAGGATCAATAGCCAGTCAGGAAGCAATTAGCCTAGCTTAGCAACAGATGACTGCGCTGCTGAAGTATTTCCGTCCCAACAGGTTGACCCGTTCAGGCCAGCTGACCATCACAACAACGACATGAAGTCCCCTACACTTTAGTGTGTGTGTGTGTGTGTGTGTGTGCGTGTGCACGTGTACCAGTGTGTCCGTGTGCGTTTCAATAATGCGCAGCAACGAAAGCACCGCCCCGTGTGTGGAGCCTTCACCGTGTTACTGTCCTCATGCTGTGCAGCAGACCATAATAACCATGGGGGTCAATCTGTCTGGCTGCAGGTGAGGGGGTAAACGATGATGATGATGATGATGATGCTCTGACTCTAGACCCAGACCAGTGCGATGCGCAGCAGGAACACACACACACACACACACACACACAGAGGGTTACTTTGTTCGGACTGAGCGTAGTAACACAGAGGAACTATTTCCCAGTAAGCCAACAAGTCAACGCTGCATTCAGGGACATTGTGGAAAGAAGAGAATCACAGCTGGTGCATAAATGAAGGTAGTGGAGTCAGACTGGATGTTTACAGGTACACCTGTATAGTACGAGTGGTATTAACAAGGAAGCCGCTTTACCACTACATGCTTCTGCTTCCTAATCATTCTAATGCTACGACTTTGTATTCTTCTTATTCTTCTTATATCTTCACACGACTGTGCGTGTCGTTAAAAGGTATTTTGTTTTCTGTCAAGCGCCTTTGTTTGAGCATCAGCCCGACCGGGGGGGTGCAGGGACACGTCCTTGTGGGTCTACATACTGAAGGACAAACTTTTGGTTTCACTTTGGACGGGAAGAGACTGTGTGGTGATGTTATTCATGATGCACCACAGGATCATAACACTAATGTACACATTACTAAAAAAAGATCTCCTTCACACGCTACAGTAACTGCTAAACAGACACGGGGGCCAAAGCTGCACAGGTGGAATTCTGGGTAACAAAGTTCCATGCGGCAGAGAACAGATTGAGAGGAATGTTGCTGTGCGTATTCATGGTCCCCAGAGGAGCACACGAGCTTTGAACTTTGCACACAACACACGGCGATCTAGTGGGATGATTGCGTAACATAGTCTCAATGAATATGTGGGCGGTGCCTCACGCAAGAATCCTATTTGAATGTCTCTATATACGGAGCGTTAATAGAGCAACACATTTTCTTTTTTTAAATATTTTCAAATATTTTTACTTCAGTGTTGTACGTTTTTTCAAACTCAATTCAAATCGTACAAAGATCCCAGATGTTGCTTGATAAGTGTTAAAGTGGATTACATCACATCATATTTTATTAAAGAAGCAAAGATGCATAATTATAATTAACATAAAGTCTCAGATTAATTTCCATCATACAAAACACAACATCTCATCCAGTATTTCAGGTTCTGCTGTTTCCTTGTGTGTGACCTCCTGAGCATCAGCCCACTCTGCAAACTGTTGTGATGTTGTGAGATCTTAATGGCAGAAGGGTGGACTGATGCCTGTGGTGGGACGTGTCTGTCTTTCAGAGGACGTCCTGTCCAAGGATGCAGGAGAATGTGCCATCTGCCTGGAGGAGCTGGTGCAGGGAGACACCATCGGCCGCCTGCCCTGCCTCTGCATCTACCACAAAGGGTAAGAGGCTCCTGGTTTCCTCCTCCCGACTCCTTCCCACCGCCCACCAACCAACACGGAGGCCGTGGTGGACGTGGTGACGTCAGCACATCCACCACGTCGGGGTCAGGACGAGGACTTGTGTCTCACCCGGTCTTTGCTTTGCTCCTCAGCTGCATCGACGAGTGGTTTGAAGTGAACCGGTCGTGTCCCGAGCATCCGTCGGATTGAAGGGCTCTGCACCGGCAAAGGATCCCAAACACGTCCTGAAGGCCACGTCCTGTCTACATTTGTCTGCTGGGTTTTAAGATTCCACAATAAGAGGGATCTACTCAGTGGAGCGTGGACCCAGGGAGACTGCTGGACACTGTGATCCCCCCCCAGTAATGTAGTGCCACTGTGCCAAATGTCATTAAGCAATCTTCAGGGATACAGACGTTAGTGTGTACGTGTGAGCGGGCTGGTGTCGCCCCTACCTGCCCTCAGAGCACGCAGGCTCCTCCTCCTCAGCGCCATTGGACAACAGATGTTGGCGGATGGTACACCTGGAGAGGCTGGAGGAGGTGGAGGTCCTGGTCCCCCCCCACCCCCCCCTCCTCCTCCAGCGTCAGGGTCTAGGAGGAGGAGGACTGGACTGCAGAGACAGCAGGACCAGCTGGACCCAGCCGGAGGCCGGAGAGCAGCTCGGACCTTTTCAGACTACGAGCTGAAAACAATGGTGCCAATCAACACACACGCTTTGTCATCAGTGCTTTTTTTAATCACATACCATAGAGAAAAAGGACTTCAGGTACCAAAAGCCTCCCCAGTCCTAAGGACATCTCCTCATTCCATCTTCTAACAGGATGTGTATAATGACACACAGCATGCGACAAAGATTGTAGCTTAACAACTTCTCTAAGTTCTGAGCACAGTGAAGTTCTGCAAAATACTTTTATAACATACAATAGAATCAGGACAAAGTGAGATGTTTAGATTTCAAACGTTGTTTTGTGTTTCTTCATGGAAATATGAGATTGTCTTTTTGATAAAGTCTGTGATCTATTTTAAATTGTAGACTATGGATAAATTATAATATTTGGTCATACTTCGGTCACTGCAAACATTAGACTGAACGAATGAAACACTGTTTAAAAGGTATATACGTTCAAAATGAATCAAATAAAACCTAAAATCTGATTATGTCATTTTGTATTCAATTGTTTTCCGGTTTTATTGTTTTTCTATAATAATTCAAAGGTTCCCTCTGTAGTTTTTAGCCCTTGTCTGACTTTGTCACAGGGACGTAGCAATGACGGCATCCTGCCTGAGGGGGCAGTAACGCGCCAGTAAAGCATGCAGCCGTTTTATTAGACCAGCTTTCTGCTTCACAGCACCAGGACGGCTTCAGATGTTCTGCTGGGAACAGGATGTGGCGGTGATTGGTCGACTGGACTACAGCGGACCGGGCAGCTTAACGCAGACTCGGCACCAAGTGGGCCCGGCGTAAGGCGCGCTGGGGGGCCTGGACCTGACCCGGGTCCAGTCTGCCTGGGGGGGCCTCAGGGGGTGGAGCCTGCAGGTTTGATCCAGCAGAGAATATGAAGCCGGGAGCTTCGTTAACTGTCCACTTGGTGTCTCTGGAGCTGTCCAAAGCTTTACCTGCTGGCAGCTCTGAGGCCCAATAATCACCCGTCATGAAATGTGTGCACTATGTAACGGACATAAAACATGTTTCACGATTTATTTCCTGTAAAAGTACGTACAAAAAGCAATGAGTAATCTTTGCAATAAACGCAGGAGTGATTGTTATCCATTGTCTTGCCATGTTCCATCTGTTTGAGTTCTGTGAACTAGTCTACTTATTTGTCTGACCCATCTCATTAACTTGGCTGAAATGTTATTTAATTGATAAGCGAACGATACCAAGACGCAACTGGCAGAAGGTCGAAGGTGATGAAAGCTCAGCGGTTTCTCCGATTCACTTGGCATCCCGCTAATGTCAAGCAGACGTAGCAGCTCCTATTGGTGTCCTCCACCCTGGTCTCTACGAAGGCCCGCATTGACGGGTGGGACGTGAACTGCCCCCACTAATGGCTCAGCTCATCATCGTCCCGTCCCGTTATTTGTATTGCTGTTCACTCCTGCGTCCGAAGGGGATTCCATGAGGGACAGACACGGAGACGCTTCACCTTCAGCCGTTCAGGTTAAAGAGCGTTTCACTGATTGAACACGTGCACAAACGAAAGCCCCAGAAGAGGAAACTGTTCAGCATCTGAAGCTGTGAAAGCAACGGAACTCCTGTCGCCGCTACGACTTGTGGATCGGAATGTCCTCTGGGAAAAAGACGTTACACGTTACGTGTCTAGTCAATTTGTAACAATGTATGTCCCAGAAATAACTTTGTCACATGTCAACTGTTTGGGGGGGGATCAGCTCAGCAGTGAACCCTGGTCCTCGTCTCCCTGAGGGACAACGTGGTCTCCTTACGGACATCTTATTTACTCTTTATAATAAACATTCTACAGCTGTCACACGTGTGCTCATCCTGACATTGTTACTCTCCTTAAGGTTCCTTCCTTTTGTCATACCCGTTCTCCATCCTGCGCCCACGTGGGGTCCCGGGACAGGCGGACCATAACAGTGGCATACGGTCATCAAGGTGTTGGAAACATTCCTCACTTTGGTCCATTGGGACATGCATCACACAGCATATATACACATATTTCATTTTCATCATAGGTACTCTTCAACTGTGAGCGATGGAATCCAAAACATATTCAGAAAATAACATATTAGGATTGTTTGTTTTTTTAATGATTTGATTTTTTACTGGGTTTGTTTTAGTTGAGTAACTAGGATCAAAATGACAAACTCCTACATGCATGTAAGTGGGATCCGATACTTGTGCACTGCTGTCTTGTCTATTGTTAGTCTACTCACCAACCGCCAAGACAAATCCCTTGTATGTTTGACATGTTTTGGCAATTAATGTTTCCTTATTCCTATATATAATTATACATATATATATAATTATATATATGCGCATTAGTGCTGTGCAACAGTTAAAATCATAACATGTATTTGACACTAAGCAGTCACACAACCCTTTAAAATGTTCCATAATAGATTTATTTAACTGCATCCGTGTAGCAGAACAGTAGAACAATGGGACCCATGAGTATTCTTTTCCCTTACAGCTCACGTTTACTCCTTTCGTATATATATCGTTTACACCCATTTACATATTCAGATTTATTGCTCTGGATCTGAGTAGATTGGATTTTACAAACCGTTGCAAAGTTTCAACCTTATTTTAGACACTGAGAATGTGTGACTGTCCATCACAGCTGGGGGGGGGCGACCTTGGTGCATAGAAATACAACTCATTCATTTCTCACAAGCAAGTATATAAATGAATGCCAACGGCGTCTCTCTCACAGGCACTGAGTCTTTGCAGGGTGGAGGCGGCGCTCCGTCAGCCCTGGAAGGCGTGGAGCTCCTCTTCACTGAAGCCCTGCTGCTTCAGCAACCTGACGGGGGGGACAAGGAAAGACACTGCTGAATGCAAACAAAGAACAAGGAGGTCTACAGGAGGTGTGGTCTCCAGGGGGGCATTCAAGTCAGCTGTGTGGCTTCACACGCGTGGTGATCCATGAGAAGGAGCTGGAGGAGCAGCTGTGAGAACACGGGAGCGATCGGATGGACGAGGCTCACGCGTCGCCTGCAGATCTGCTCCGTCACGCACATTCAAACCAGCACGCTCATCCATCAGCATCTTTCACCGCCGGACTATAATACACACCCCATTGTCAGCTCCGTAAAAGCAGCAGGGCCGCACACACACACGTAGCATTTGGACCCGTGTGGCCTGGTGAGGAAGTCCTGGAGCATGGACTCGTCCACCCTCCCCGTCCTGCCGGTCCAGCCCTCGCAGGGATCAGAGAGCACGTAGTCTACCTGAAACCTTTACAAAGACATGCAGGTCCGGCGTCAGTAAAGCTGGAAATCGTCTGCATTACAACTCAACGCGTCCGTCAGTTTGTCAAACTCCACTTTTACTCAGTCAGCAGAGTGAATGTAGCGAGACGATAGGATTCCCAACAGGACTACAAGTCCACTAGACACCACTCATCTCTAGTCTTCCCTCCACTCGCAGCTCTCATGTCATCATTCACTCTCTGCTGAGAGCAGGCACCACACGGGGACACCTGTCCATCGGGGACAGCACCTGTCACTGTGAGCAGCCAGCTCGTCCAGCTGGCGGCGCCACAGAATGTCCTCCTCGCGGCGGTTCAGGAAGAGCAGCTTGGTTTTCCTGAGGTCACACAAACACGTTGGAGTTACAATCAATGACCGAAGCAGCACAGAACCTCAGTTCTACCTCAGGTCTGCATCGGACTTTACAAGTGACTCCTGTTTCTAGGAGATAAGATAACGTGTGGGAGTCGGTGTTCATTCTACATGCAGCAAGAGACAAGGGAGACTAACAAGGACAGGATGTGGTCTGTGTGTAAAGCCTTCTCTAGCTTTTATAGTAAATCCCTGCATGTTGTGAGCTTTATGCAGGCTGTTGTACTCATCATGTCATGTTTCCATCAGATGGACATTAATGGCTGTTGGAAAACCTGAAATAAGGTTGTGTCTTAGTGGACAGAGTCCACATGAGCACGCAAGGTGTTCTGGGTAAACAAATGTGAGGCGGTGGTAACGGGGCTCATCTCTCCTGCTTAGTATGTGTGTTACCCGAGTCCTGATGGATTACTTCTGAGTGTCCTGTTTAAGGGTTTCACACCCGCGTCCAGTCGGATCCACGTGAGAGTTCCCACCTGATGGCGTCCATGTCCTGGAGGGCCAGCTGGATGAGGCGAGCCATGGGTGTGAACCCTGTGCCCGCTGCGAATAGGTAGAGGTCTGTGACATCACGCAGGGGGCGGAGACTGAAAGTACCCTCTGGACCGCTAACGGGTAAACAGTCGCCTAGACAGTTACACTACATTAGTACACTTGCAATAATACACACATAAGCATGAATGCACATGGGGGGGGGGGGAGGAGGGGTGCAGGCTAACAGGCTGTTTAGCTTCATCGCACTGGGCCTTTCTACTGTGTGTCATGCAGCAGCCCGGCCCCCATTTCACTTCCTCTGAACATTAATGAATCACAATGAGGGAAACCTTGTTAAATCAGATTATTGTAATTACGTCCAGAGTTATTTCTACTTCCCGACACATTATCGTTCATTTAGGAGATATCTGTTACAAGAGGACTAATAGTAACGGTCTCCGCCCCCCCACGCCTCCCTTCGGCGGACCTACCGACGTGCAGGCTGCTGAGATGAGAGGTGAACACTCCGTCAGGGTAGACCTTGATCATGAGGTAGAGGTCGGGGTCCTGGGGGGCGCCTACCAGGCTCTGATCTACTGGAGTGTATGGCCTCACCACCTCGGTGCCTGGAGGGGACGCACGACGCCGCGATGAGCTCATGTGCACATTCGGGTGGCGGCTTGTCGTTGCGTTGTCATGTGGCTGAGCGCCGTGTCTCAACAAGAGCTCTGCAGAAGCTCGTTCTGCTTGATTGACAAACAGGAAGCGGTTTCTGTACTTCTGATTGGAATGTTGCTCAGAGGAACGGCGTCTTCCGCTTGTTGGTTAGGTGGAACCATTGCATCCACCAAACTAAATATCTACATTCAATAGATCCGCTCGTCTGTAAAGGGACATTCTGGACCTTTGGCATGAATAAAGCATGTTTGTCGGGGCATATCTGCTTACTTAAGGAGACCGTTTGAAGGATGCGTGGCCCGGGACACCTTCTGGTGGACCCACTGGACCCCGCGGGTAGAAGTAGACCCAGTCACAGTCCTCGCTCCTTACCTTGGGCGAGCGCTTTGAGGTAGACGTGTTTCCCAACAGGCACATGCATGACTGTCCCACGAGGAAGCTGCAATCTGAACACATGTGTGTTGTGGTTCACCTCCGTCTTAGACACCAACACACAATCCCGGTAGTGGAGAGCTGGAAGAAGCAGACGACAGCACGTTTCTAACTTCGGGATGTCCGGCGTCCTAATAACCAATCAATCAGACGTCTCATGTGCAGCCTTTGCAATAGTTGGATGGGGGGATTTTTGTCGTCTATACCTCCTCTTCATGGATTACATTTTAAGATTACTCGGACTATTATTTGCATCTGTAGCTGAATTCAGTGCATTTCCGTCATGTTGTGCAACTGGAGACGGCCGGCTGGAGCAGCGTCACTAGTCACCTGACTAACGGCTGTGACACGAGATATGTCAAACGTGCAGACATCAGAGGGGCGTTGGGTCTCACCTCGGTCCTTCTTGCGTAGAAATGTATTGTGTAATTCCAGTGGCAGGCCCAGGCTGCTCCACTTCCCTTTGGCCTGTTTGCGGATGCTGACCTGGATCTTCCCCACGAGGGGGACATTGTGGACTGTTGAAGACAAAGAGCATGAAGCACATGCTGTCTTCTTTTTTTCTTCATGACAGATGTTTTCTTACCAGCAACGTTTCCCTCAACGTCGTCAGCCAGACCTGGAAGAGCAGGAACACGACACTGACATCACTGGATCATACAGATCGTGTGTGAGCTCTTGACAACATGCGGCGTCACACAAGCACACCACGTGCAGCCCGTGTGCAACCCGACACGCACGCCACTCATTCCTCATCTTTCCTTCATTGTTTGAACAGCAGCAGCCTCTCTACTCACGTAAGTGGATCATGTAGGACATGTTGCCCAGCACCACCTCCAGCCGCAGAGCCCCCCCCTCCAGGTCAACGGTGGTGCAGCCGGAGCTGGGGATCTGACACAGGAGACATGCAGCCACTGATCTGGGAGCCTCTGGACAGGATCAGACATACTACGTACACTTCATGCTTCAAATGAGATTCTGATCGCAAGTTTCACGGGAAACTCATAGAAATGAGACTTTGGGAGACAGCGGTTGAAAATGTGACTTTGACTCGCTGACTTTGTTCAAAGTGTGGTCGCTGGGAGCGAACATGCACTATGCATCATATTTAAAAAGCACTAGTACACATGATTTCATGTTGTGGGGCACTAGTTCACAAAGCGACCTCCCCTTTCAAATAAGCAAGCAGGCTGTTATTGATTTGATTTTCTGTAGGGAGCAGCAGTGGCCAGTAGGAGAGGCCCGTTAGTCTTAGAGAACAAACATTCTTTGTCCAGACACCCTTGACTAATCGGAGCCTTATGGAGGGTTCGGGAGTCCGTTACCTTTCTTTTAGCATAAACCACCAGATTAACGGTGGCATCAGTTTGGAACCAGTCGTACCTGCACAAAGACAACAAATGACATCACCGTGTGAGTAAACATTAGTTCATCTGCAACGAGCTTTTATCACGGTCGCTTTTGGAGGTCGGCGTGTCGTACCGCGGCCGCGAGTCTTTTTCTGTGGGAGCGGCCATCGACATGGGGGGGGCGAGGCTGCTCTGTGGCGAGGACGGGACGGCGGCTGAGGAGAAGAAACAGATGAAGAGCAACAAGCAATTTGTGATTCACGTGTAAGTATGAGTAGCAGCATCTGATACATGCATGTAGGAGTCTGTCATTTTATCAGAGGCACTCTTCAACTGTGAGTGCCTGAATCTACTCTTTGCAAGTGGGAAAACCTGCAAAATCAGCAGTGTATCAGACACTGGTTCTCCCCACTGTAGATGGTTCATTGTGTACACATGACATCTGCCACACTTCAGTCGGGCCCTTGGGGGAGGCTTCTGGGACGGGGGATGTCCCATTTGTCCAGAATGTAAAGGCCTCTGAGGGAAACTTTTGACTTTTGGGTTATACAACAAATGGATATATGGACATATTCAGTCAAAACAAGTAGTAGCGCAGCAGTAAATATGGTGTTGATACCAAGTTCATCTCTCAGAGGGATTGTCATCCACTGCACAAACAGCACGCATGGTGCGTGTGTTGCAAACCAGGAGACGCCATAGTGCTGCTGGTTATGAGCGTCTGGTTCCATCTGCAGTAAAGCGGCAGTGTGTGGATGTGTGTTTACCTTTAATGACAGCAGTGGCCATCCTACCCACCAGGCACTCTTTTAACATGGACTCATAGTTTACCCAGCGATGCACCTATGCACAAACACACGTGTTACCATAGCAACGCATAAACACCCATCATGTCACACATTAAAGAGCTCAGAGAACCACAACAAATGTAGCTGCACTCACAAGACAGCCCACGTTAAATATGTCTCAGTCGTCTCAAGGTCCCCCGGCTTGTTTTAACTGCTGCTGCGTTTTCTTTATGTACTTTTATTCATCGCCTGGGCCTGATTTACTTTAGTCCCAAGGATGTACAAACAGAAAACAGGGGACCAATGTTATCATTTAAGAATAATATGTATTGACATGTTTAGAAAGACGATCACCATGGATGCAGAAATGAAAGCAGACTACAATTTATTCTTTTCTTTTAGTTGGCCTTGGTCCCTAAAACTGGAGCATGGATTTGTAATCCAGCCAACGTTGAGAGTTTGTCTTTAGTAATGGTGGCTGAGCCTGATGCCCTCAGTGAGGCTCATTAGCAGACAATCTGCCAGCATGAAATGACACAACAGGCTGTCCACTCGGACATGGTGGACTGCTGAGAATGTGGGCGTTCATCGCTAAAGATAAACTTTAGATGTAGAACAAAACAATGAGTAACATTTAAACCATCAAGTTGAAAAAAGTAATTTACTGTTACTGTAATTCGTAGAAAGCAGCAACACACCTTTCCCTTTAGAACATTTAACAGTATCGGCTCCCATACCTGGTCAAACAGGTCAGTGCCATCTATTCCAGCTGCCTTCATCAGCTCCTCTTCCCCACCAGGGTGGTAGTCCATGTATGGGGTCACATTATAAACCATACCTGCAACATGGAAAAAAGATGAAGTCAGGAGTATTTAGCACAGCAAATAACCCATAACTACATACGTGAGAACAGAGAATGAACAGGCTGCCACGCAGTGGGACGTTCTGTCGGTATGCAGATTACTGCCCCCCCCTCAAGTCTCTGCCCTGGATCCACACACGGACAGTTGAGACGTGTGACATAAATGAGAATAAAAAAAGGAAGAACTCGGAAGCCATCTGATCTGCTCCGTCAAACAGAGACATGGTGGTGCTGTTACAAAGTCTGAGAAAATGAGCCTGATTTCGTCCTCATCAAACAGAGAACTTCATGTATGTCGTACTGCCCAGAGAATGGTTTGGTTTATTCCTCCTGACGCAAGTTTAAAAAATGCCAAGAATCCATCATGTAACGCCGTCATGTAACGCCGTCATGTAGCGTCGTCATCATGTAACGCCGTCATGTAACGCCGTCATGTAACGCCGTCGAGTAACGCCGTCATGTAGCGTCGTCATCATGTAACGCCGTCATGTAACGCCGTCATGTAACGCCGTCATGTAGCGTCGTCATCATGTAGCGTCGTCATGTAACGGCGTCATCATGTAGCGTCGTCATGTAACGCCGTCATGTAGCGTCGTCATCATGTAGCCTCGTCATGTAACGGCGTCATGTAGCGTCGTCATCATGTAGCCTCGTCATGTAACGCCGTCATGTAGCGTCGTCATGTAACGGCGTCATCATGTAGCCTCGTCATGTAACGCCGTCATGTAGCGTCGTCATCATGTAGCCTCGTCATGTAACGCCGTCATGTAGCGTCGTCATCATGTAGCCTCGTCATGTAACGCCGTCATGAGCGTCGTCATCATGTAGCCTCGTCATGTAACGCCGTCATGTAGCGTCGTCATCATGTAGCGTCGTCATGTAACGCCGTCATGTAGCGTCGTCATCATGTAGCCTCGTCATGTAACGGCGTCATCATGTAGCGTCGTTATGTAACGCCGTCATCATGTAGTGTCGTCATCATGTGGCGTTGTCATGTAGCGTTGTTATGTAACGCCGTCATGTAACGCCGTCGTGTAGGGTCGTGATCATGTAGCGTCGTCATCATGTAACGCCGTCATCATGTAACGCCGCCATCATGTAACGCCGTCATCATGTAGCGTCGTCATGCAACGCCGTCATGTAGCGTCGTCATCATGTAGCGTCGTCATGTAACGCCGTCATCATGTAGCGCCATCATGTAACGCCGTCATGTAGCGTCGTCATCATGTAACGCCGTCATGTAACGCCGTCATGTAGCGTCGTCATCATGTAGCGTCGTCATGTAACGCCGTCATCATGTAGCGCCATTATGTAACGCCGTCATGTAGCGTCGTCATCATGTAGCGTCCTCATGTAATGCCGTCATGTAACGTCGTCATGTAACGTCATCATGTAACGCCATCATGTAACGCCGTCATGTAGCGTCGTCATCATGTAGCGTCGTCATGTAACGCCGTCATCATGTAGCGCCATTATGTAACGCCGTCATGTAGCGTCGTCATCATGTAGCGTCCTCATGTAATGCCGTCATGTAACGTCGTCATGTAACGTCATCATGTAACGCCGTCATGTAGCGTCGTCATCATGTAGCGTCCTCATGTAATGCCGTCATGTAACGTCGTCATGTAACGTCATCATGTAACCAATGAGCAGAAACTGCTTTATTGTTTGGATAACGACACTTCAACTACTTCAAATTCTGCTTGAATATTCGGCTAGTAAGTGTTGAAGTGGACATAAGTGAGGTGTCTGTCCCGACTCCGAATGGTCCTCCAATCAAACCTGGGGTCAACGAGGTTCAGGCTGACATCAAGCTGCTAAGCAGCAGATTTCCAGACCCCTGCGGGCTCACCTCGTATGCAGGTCCAGCAGTCGTTTCTTGTGTTGTGTCTCTGCAGCTCTTCCTGGGTGACCTCGATCAGACGGCCCCTGAGCCCCGTCAGGTCCGTTGCACTCTTGGAAAACCGGATCCAGTCCATCAGACTGTGTCCCGGCTTCAAGGCCACCTGGTGGGACACTGAGACACTGAGACACGGCGACACCGATCCAGCTTATGTAACGCATGACAACTGGTCATTTTCGTGTCCACACAAGACAACTAGTACCGGCCGTCTCTTACAGATCGCGCGGCTTCACCGCACACAGACGAGCCGCTCGTTGCGGTCGGGTCGGTTACCTTGTTCCGCCCGGACTGGCCGGACGCAGCGACCCGCTGCTGGGAGCGCGCCGCGGGGAACGACGGGCTCGGGACGTTCAGCATGTCGGCGGCGCCTCGCAGGAAGCTCCAGACTCGGAGGAAACCTATTCAGCCGACGGCAGTGAACGACACATGAGCGGCGGCTCCGTACGGTCGTCCCGCTGCTGCTGCTACACGCCGACGTTACAGGAACAAGTTGTGCCCCCGTTGTGACACATTTCTGAAAGAAACTGTTGCGATAGAGCCTAGCTGCGAGGCTAACCTTAAGCGAGGCTAAGCTAGGCTAAGAAGCCATTATCCGGTGAGAGCCTTCCGAACTAATGACAGCAAGTCATACGTGGTCACGTTGCAATTCAATGAAGGGAAATGTCGTGTTAATTAAATATGTATCATCTAAATGAGTCACGTGATCGCTGTCTCGGGATTATTATTGTGGGGAGAAGCTGTTCTACCACTAATGAAGACTTCACTGCTTGTCGCACAATTTGTCAACAAACGGCGTCATCAAGCTGCGACGGTCCCGCTGCTGCTTGTTGTAAGTGGCCGCATGAACCAGAAAGAAATGATATTTCACGTTTCCTTTAAAACAGGAATAATAACTGCAGTACGTGCATGTTGGTCCTCTGACATCAGGCGGGCCGTGCATTTAATGCCTTCTGTGCCGCATTATTATATATTATATTATACACCTATTATGACACCACCATTACAACGCTACACATTTACAAAACATTGTAACATTAAAAGTGAAATAAAAGTTATATTTATTTACAACAAAGCATGACAACAATCCACACTCAAGAGCACAGCCCATTCAAATGTTATTTACATCTTAGGGAGCGATAATAACTATAAAATAAAAACAACACGATAAAAAAATGAACATACTACTGATAAATGATAAGAAAGCTGTAACTTTGTGATTGTGTTTAGTCCAGCAGAGAAGGCTCAGCTGTCCCTGACTACTGTCTGACATATGGAACACTGTCAAACTGAACATTATTAAAGGCTCCTGTGCTTTGAAATCCAACTCACGGGCTGAAACGCCAATAACTCACCTGCAATCAAACTATTGAATATCGAGGTGAAAGATGAACCACCTTGTCCTCCGCTTGTTCCACTCTCACCGTCGTCATCATCGTCATCTTCTTCTGAGTCGCTCATCCTGGTGTCTCACATAGCGCCGATATTGTATTTACCTGTATGTGCAATACAATGAAGCGTACCGAAGACGTTCATCAGAGAAGCTGAAGGGTTTGCTTCTGAAAGGCTAATCTGCTAAGAGGATTCAATGGCCCAGTTCTCTCCCTTCACAATAAAGGCCCAAGTGCTAGTTGGGACTTAAAGAGCTGGAGTGGCAAACTGCAAAGATCTGGGAGATCGATTTTGGTGGCAGATATGTTGTCATTGTTACATAGAGTGGATATGGAAGAAGTATTCACCTCCAAATACGAAAAGTAAGTAACCGGAGAATCATCACAATTCCCTGTTGCCTTAAAACGTTTTACATTTAACCAGTTGAATACAGCCCTGATACAAATTGATATAAATGTTAGAATATCATTTATAACATCACATCTTAAGTTACGCGACCTATGTTGTGTTTTTAAAGACACATAAGAAAAAACTCTCCTAATTATAACTGTTTTATATAATAATCACTTTGTAAGTCAGTAATCTTACAAACGTTGAGAATAAATACACAAAGAAACTGAACTTGGTTGCTTTGCTCCTTTTGATTTGTTGTATGATTTATTTATAATCATATATGTTTTATCATCATTTCGCTCGTATCTTATGTAAGAAAAAAAAAGTTAATACGTGTGTTTTCTGCTGTGGTTTTCATAGATTGTCGTAGCTGCAAACGTGTGAAAAGAATCTTGAGCCACTGATTTCACGTCTAAATCTCGCTCAATTCCTGACAATCCATAGCTTTCATTTTTGATGATCTAGAACCTTCACTGATCCAGACTTTGCCGTCAAACTTTTCATTTTTTATTTTTCCTGATTTTTCAACTCACCACTAAATTCAAGACAAATATCAATATAAATCACTTGAACACAAATCTACAGACAGCATTTGGTTGGAGAGCGAAAGTGTCCATTCACAGCGTCCTCATGAGGAGCAGAATGAAGACTCGCCAATGGTTACTGGTAAATCCTTCTCAGATAATTCTTTTTATTTTGTAAAACCCCAAATTCTCCAGAGAAGGCTTTACAGTCTGTAAACGACAACAAACTCGCTCCTTACACCCTCACATTGCCTCACAAAAACTCCCCCAAAGAGACTTTCAGCAGGTAGAAGGAGGGAACCTTAGTGAGGGACGGACGGACTGGGACGGGAACAGCGTAACAGATTCATACGACAGAAAGATGACACTGATGAAAACAGTTTATTTAGTGAATAAAAATGATAACAAAAGCATGAATTAGTAATGGCGTCAGCAACAGTCATGTGAGTACTAATAATGACGGTAGCAGAGCATGTGAGGACCAGTGCAGGACCAGTCCGTCCACGTGAGGAGCGAGAGCACAAGGACTCCAGAAGCTGTTGGCCATGCGCATCACTGGGACATTAGAGACTGTCCCAGCAGCTCACAGGTGTCTTAGGAGGACACTTCTTTCACCAGCTTCTTCCCCCACGAAGATGTGCCCCTTGAGATGGATCCTCTTATGTTCCTTATTCATCAGGCTACGACTTGGTGCATTTGTTGCCACTAGAGGGAGCCGTGGCGTGATCCCCATGGTGGGCTGACATTATGGGATGCCTTAGCATGTGCTGGCCTTGTCCATGCTGCTCATGTTAATAGATGTTCTCCTTCCCCCAGCTCACAGGTGCTTCTCAATTGTGTAAATAATGAGTGATGAACTCGACCCTCATTATCCTTAAGGGTCTACTCAATTGTCTCTATTTCTTCTTTTCTTTTTGGAGCTTTTAATCAAACTTCTTCCTTCTGCTGTTTTTACCTCCTGGATTCCTACAGATTTCATTGGAGACGTTTTCTGTTGCTCGTATGCTGCGGTGCTCAGAGTAGTAGAGCAGAGTAATGAGGTTTCTGGCCTCCCCACGGATTGCAGAGCAGCATGTTCTTCTGTCAGCCTCCTGCAGGTGGCAGCAAAGATCAACAACACTCGCTCAGTGTTTGCATTGCTTCTGCTAGATGTTTGAACACTGCATGGTGAGATGTTCCTGTTAAATAGTACTCACGTAGAGGACCGGATTCTAGAGTCCTTACGCTCTGCCGCTGAAGAGACCAGTGCATCTCAGAGGTTTGTGCTTGTTGGTTTCCAGAGTGCTGTATTCTACCAGGGTCCTCCTTATATTCTGCCTCTTGCCCCCCCCCCCTCTCTTACCACTAGCCATCTTCTCCTTTCTTTGTGCGGATAATTATTATTTCAAAACCATTTGCCAGATCATTACCAGCTAATCCTGTGCTTGGTCTGATGAGTCACGCGCCTCGTGTGCACGGCGGGGGGCCGCCTGGGGCCCTTTCACAAACACTGGCTGAGGAGCCGGGCCACCCCACTGCTGGGGAGGGGGGGTCTGTTCCTCTGGCACAGGCAGCGATCATAAGAGCCAGAAGAGTAGAAACTACATGTTTTTAAAAAGACTGTGTCCAACAGTCTAATTACGTTGTCTACAGCAGTGTCCTTAAGCAGTGGGGACAAAAGACCGTTCATCCCTTCTCCCCATTTAAGCCCTGTCTTAATGTCTTCATATACACTGCGAGTTCACACTATGTACCACACAGACACCGTGCCACTGATGTCCCCTTCCTTTACTCCCAGTTAAACCATAAGTCTTGGTAGTAAAATGTCATTCTGTTTGTGCAACATTGTAAAATATCAAAATGTATTTATCCACATTTATTGTGCAAAAAGATTCACATAATGCAAAAAACAATCAGATGAACAAATCCATTGTTGTCGTACACAGATGATGATTACTTGGCATGCAGGTGCCCAATGTCTGTTTGAATGTGTGGTAAACCACAACAGTATACTAATAGTATTTACTACAGTATTGTGTGTAATAGTATTTCTGATGAAAATGTCTTTCAGCATGTCTTCTCGTCCAGTACCGGCAAATGAACTGGTTTCCTGTGAAGTCCTGCTGGCCTCTCCGTGTTGGCCCAGATGTTACAGTGTAGCTGTGAAGGCCCTCACCAAAAGCAGCCCATTAGCCCTGAATGTCCATCTGTTTCCTCCCCTACATGTTGGGGCCTTGATGCCAGAGTCCTCCCAGGATCCCGTTCAGCCACCGGACTGTTTGCTGCTGTTGTTGCTGACAGTGGCGCACACGCGCACACTGAACAGTGCCATATGGTTGTACGTGTGGCGTCGGGCCCACGAGTCCTTTGATGGGTTGGTTGACCAGACAGCTCGTGATACCAGAGCACACACAGTTTCCATGGCAACGCATGTGGCTAAGGCGGTTGGATCAACAAATGGCTTTGGCAACCATCTCATCCAATGTGCTGCACACTCGCTGTCACCACTCCAACCCTGTTGGTAATATTTGCCAAACACATCAGTTGTTACTGTTTGAATTGATCTGTCACATGGAAGTCCTGATTACTGCCCATGCCAAGATATATCCGTCCATATGTTGCATTCTAGTTTCAAACTGCAACCATAACTGTGGAAACAAGTTTGGACTCATGCAGTAGCTTCTGGATGAATTGTGTTGATAACGTTGCCCTGAAACCAATGTGACGGGTGGAAAAATGACCCCAATACCAATCTGTGTCTGATAATTTATAACGTGTCATTTCAGCTCCAAAAGACAATCTCATGAATGCAGCAAAGTGGTTATTTTTAAGTAAACATGAAATAATACAATCTTAATTGGAGCTTTCATTTAGAAAGGACTGATTGCACTGAAGCGCTGTGATGCAGCTGTTTGTTTATCTACAAACCGATCAGACAACAAGCAGCATCAGCATTTATTTGGATGCATGTTTGAGTCCGTTATTCACCTTTAGCACTGTTTGGCCCCTGTGTTTACCAGCCCTAGCGTGTAGCCTACAGTAGGATCCAGCTACCATGCAGCATTAACTTCATCCAGCTTCTCCTGGGCCGTCTTGCTGACCCTAACCTCTGACCCCAGCTCCGCTGGGGCATCTGTCCTGCCCCAAATGTTTGATGGGGTTCTGGTTAACCCGGTTGTCTGTGTCTAATTCTGATCCATGTTCATTGCAGTTAAATCACTCAGACCACTCAGTCTTTTTTCGTTCACTGGTACGTGGACCTCATTAAATTGAGCATTTGCTGAATGTTTTTGAGTCTAGAATTATCTCAATACAATTTTACATTGCTTCTTCAAAAGGTTTAGGCTGATCTGAACAATAGTTCAGCTCATATTTTATGAATTAAATGGAATTTTTTGTATCTCTGGCATCATGAGGCAAACTAAGGTCCAAGAATGTGTCCCGTGAGACTCAGACATGTAAACACAAGCGAACAGGTCGGCAGGAAAGGGAGGCAGTGACGGCTGCACAGA